ACATAAGTGAGTTCAAGGCCAGCCTGTGCTACATAGCAAGACTATCTAAAAAAAAAAGGCAGTTATAACCATCAATGTAAATGGTCTCAATTCACCCATCAAAAGAAACACACTGGCAGAATGGGTTAAGTAGCAGGGCCCAACAATATGCTGCATACAACAAACACATTTAGGGGCCAGGGATTTACCTCAGTGGCGCAGCACCTGCCTGGCAAGTATGAGGTCCTGAGTTCGAATCCCAGTACCCCCACCCAAAGAAACATATTTAATTCAAAAATTCATAGACTGAAAGTTAAAGGATGGAAAACAGTTCTCCATGCCATAGGTACCCAAGAAAAAAGAGGGGTAGCTATTTTACTTAAGGACAAAGTAGATGGGCTGGGGATATAGCTCAGCGGCATAAGCACCTGCCTGGCAAGCACAAGGTCCTGAGTTTAATTCCTGGTAATTGGTAGTTAAAACCTACCAACAAATTGAAGATATAGCTAAAAACCTACCAAAAAAAAAAAAGACAAAGCAGATTTCAAGGCAAGCCTGATTAAGAGAGACCAAAAAGGTCTCTACATCCTTGTAAAGGGAACAATGAGAGAGCACCAAATACCAGTGCACCCAAGTATGTAAAACAAATATTAACAGACATAAAAAATCAAATAAGCACTAATACATTTATAATGGGGGACTTCAATACCCCACGATCACAAATAGATCAACTAGACAAAAAAAAAAAAAAAAAAAAAATCAGAACTGAACCAAACTCTTGAAGAAATGGGCTTAGCAGATGTCTACAGAGTGTTGTACCCCACAACATCAGAATTCACATTCTTCTTGGCTGCACATGGGGCTTTCTCCAAAACAGACCACATACTAGCTCACAGACAATGCTTAAGTAAATGCAAAGGAACTGAAATTATCCCACACATATAAGCAGGCTATAGGGCAATGAAATTGGAAATCAGCTGCAAAAGAAACCACAAGAACTTCATATTTCACATGGAAATTAAACAACACCTCCTGAACAACCAATGGGTCACAGATGAAATTAAAAAGGAAATTTGACAGTTTCTACAATTAAATGATAATGCCAATACAACATACAGAACTTATGGGATGCAATTAAAGCAATCCTATGAGGAAAATGTAGCAGTGAAGTCCCCTATCATGAAAACAGAGCGAGCTCAAATAAACAACTAATGTGGGGACTCACCCTTCTAGAAAAAGAGCAAGTGAAGCTCGAAGCTTGTATGAAGGAAGAAATTATAAAGATCAGAGCACATTTTCTTGGGGAGGATACTGGGAATCGAACTCAGGACCTTGTGTTTGCCAAGCAGGCACTGCACCTCTGAGCTAAATCCCTGGCTCGAACTCAGAACATTGTGTTTGCTAAGTAGGCACTGCGCCTCTGAGCTAAATTCTGGCCCACAGAGCAGAAATTAATGCAATGGAGACTAAGAAAACAATACAAAGAATCAATGAATCAAAAAGTTGGTTCTTTGAAAGAGTAAATAAAATTGAAAAACCCTTAGCCAACCTTATCAAAAAAGGAAACAAAAGACTCAAATCCATAAACTTAGGAATGAAAAGGGTGAAATCACAACACATCCTGCAGAAACCAAGAAGATCATCAATACTTATTTCAAGTACCCGTATTCTTTTTTTTTTTTTTTTTTTTTTTGGTCTTTTTGAGACAGGGTCTCACTACACAGGCTGGCCTTGAGCTCACTTTGTAGCCCAGGCTAGTCTTGAACTTGCACCAATCCTCCTGCCTCCGCCTCCTGTGTGCTGGGATTACAGGCGTGCACCACCACACCTGGCTCAAGTACCTGTATTTTAGTACGATGGAAAACACAGAAGAAATGGACAGATTCTTAGATTCATATGAATTACCCAAACTGAATCAAGAACATAAAATAGTCTAAGTAAACTACTACCAGCCAATAAAATTGAAGATATAGCTAAAAACCTACCAACAAAGAAAAGCCCAGGCTCTGATAGATTCACTGCTAAATTTTACAAGAAATTTAGAGAAAACTTAATGCCAATACTTCTCAAACTCTTTAATGAAATTGAAAGGGAAGCAATACTCCCAAACTCATTCCTGAAAGCAAGCATTACCCTGATACCAAAACCAGAGGATAGAAGGAGAACTACAGGTCAATCTCTCTAGTGAATATAGATGCAAAAATCCTCAATAAGATACTGGCACCAGGCATGGTGGCACACGCCTGTAATACCAGCATTTGGTATTTACAAAGTGAGCTCAAGGTTGGCCTGAACTTCATAGTGAGACCCTGTCTCAAAAAGACAAAAAAAAACCTTTTGCACAGCAAAAGAAACCACCAATAGAGTGAAGACACAACCCACAGTGTGGGAAAAAATTTTTGCCAGCTGTTTCTCAAAGAACTAATATCTAGAATATATAAAGAATACAAAAAGATCAGACCCTCCCAAATTTAAAGACCCAATCCAAAAATAGGCATCTGAGCCGGGTCTGGTGGCGCACGCCTGTAATCCCAGCACTCAGGAGGCTGAGGCAGGAGGATCGTTTCCAGTTCGAGACCAGCCTTGGCTACAAAGTGAGCTCAAGGCCAGCCTGAACTGCATAGTGAGATTCTGTCTCAAAAAGGCAAAA